TTATCACAAAAAGTAGCTACAAGCCACTGCAGATGCTCTGAGGTGTCGTCATAACGTTCGCGAAGGAGTGAGTCCGACCGTACCATTCGCTATGCAACTGATGCTTCTTCTAGCCCCGTGGATTGTCAGACCATTAAATTCGAAGTGATAGCACTAAATACGTTACCCTGGTAACCCTGACACTGTCGACATTTCTCAGCTCGTTACTCAATGAAACCAGCGATTGCCCAAAAATGCAACCCGATGAGCTATGCTCGTTTGGTAGGCGTTTCGATGATAGGTATTATCTAACGGAATCACTGCTTTCAGGCAGTATGAAAATACTGGTTTGATTGAAGACTGCGTTCACAAAACATCATAAAGAATTTGCATAGCGCTCTTCTGTCCGATCACCAAGTTAACAAGTAATAAGTTTCATCTAATGGTTCTAAATCGTTTCTGACTCAGTGACTTTCTGAGTTAGTTACATTTACTAGCAGAGAATGGCACCGAATGCAGAGAGCACGTTGCCGCATTGTCTTTCAGCATCTGCCTTCTCGAGCGCATATTCCTTCATACGTGCAATCCGTACCACAGGCCACTCCGGATATTATATATTTTGCTCAAACACGTTCAGCACACATGTGCTGCGAGATTTCCTACGATAGAAATATGCTTCATAATGCACGTCTGATTCAAAAATTTACTATCTCATTATGCAGTCGAGAAACAGGAAGAATTCCCTTCCCCTATGGTAATGATTATGAATAGTTTTTTGCTGGTCAGTGTGCAGCTGTTTTTTCATTACCAGTTCTTCGAGTATTTATACACTTTCCTTAATCCTGCTCAAGTGCTTTTGGAAACCTATAAGTATACTTTGCCTTGGTCAAGTACATTATTACATTTTATTGTAAGGCATAGGCATGGTTCGCAAAACTAACGCAAATAACGCAAAAATGACGGCTGAGGCGCTATAATAGCGCTAGCTTCGATACATAATTAAAGATAAAATATAGGATCATGTCAAGAAAGACTCTATTCTGTTCCGGCCGATGAGGAAATTAAGAAAAGGAGGTTCGCCCTGTTAGACAAACTTCTTGAGAATAAACCATTCACTCTGCTTCACCGTGGGAGCCGAAACACGAAAGAAGTCGATCAGGAGGCTAGCATGCAACACGGAGTTACAAAGCAGTAACAGATCTGCTGTCGGACAGGAATAATTCCTTATGCGATACAGTAACCGGCGCCTGATAGCAAGTGTTTAGAAGCTGTGAACTGTGAAAACAGCGGACAGCACAAACAACACACGTTTCGATTATGTAAACGACTCAAGGTAATAATAATAAACTCAACAAACAACAAACGTTAATTCTGCAATACAAAGAAACTGCTTTGACAACCGTGTATTCTATTATTTCAAATTCCGAATCAATACGACGTTTCCAGATGTTTCACGTTGGCTTCTTAGGCCCTCAAAAGTCTTTCGAAAATCTGGTCTGGAAAAGGAATAACAATTACTGCGAAAATTCAATTACCTATCCGCATGAACTAGAAACAGCTGAGGGTACAATGTCTAAAGAAGAATCTCCAACAGCGCTGTTTAACGCATGATGAAGACAATTGCTACGCCAATGTCAGAAATATCAAGCTTTGGCATCGGCCGATTTTACCGTATCAATCCGCAATCCTAAGGTACATATTATCGCTGTTCCATCATCTGTAGGAAATTTATCAAGCGTTCCTCGCTCGTCGGCCGACAACCTTGGTACTGTGAAATGGACCACGGTGAATACATCCCATTACATCACATCATAAAAGATCTTTCACGGAAATCCGCTGTCGATGTGGAATTTTGCCCAATAAAACCCACCTAATACAAACATGTCAGAAATTGAGTTCAACATATCACTAGTCTTAAACAACTTACAGTTTCACTAAACCGAAAACATCGCGGTTTAAAAATCTT